TTTACAATATTATTTAAAAAGGTAATTCTTGACTTTGGTCTTTAATGTTCGCAGAGATTCTGCTTCAACTACGTCTTTAGGTAGTTTATTCCACAGGTTTACGATTCTGACAAAGAATGGGTACTTGTAACAATTTAATCTAGCTGATTTGATTTTCAATTTGTAACAATGATTAGAGCGGAAAGGACGAAAGGCACTAGCATAAGTAAACAAAGATGGATTTAGGCTGATAGTTTCGAAAGAAACTGTTTGGGGCTGCGTCGGTGGGAGTAACGAAATAATTTGGATATATCAACAAAGTTGAAATGATAAATTGGCCACCGTAATGATTACAAAAGCTGACGTTTCGAGCGTTAGCCCTTCGTCGGAGCGACGAAGGGCTAACGCTCGAAACGTCAGCTTTTGTAATCATTACGGTGGCCAATTTATCATTTCAACTTTGTTGATATATCCAAATTATTTCGTTACTCCCACCGACGCAGCCCCAAACAGTTTCTTTCGAAACTATCAGCCTAAATCCATCTTTGTTTACTTATGCTAGTGCCTTTCGTCCTTTCCGCTCTAATCATTGTTACAAATTGAAAATCAAATCAGCTAGATTAAATTGTTACAAGTACCCATTCTTTGTCAGAATCGTAAACCTGTGGAATAAACTACCTAAAGACGTAGTTGAAGCAGAATCTCTGCGAACATTAAAGACCAAAGTCAAGAATTACCTTTTTAAATAATATTGTAAAAAGTTTTTATAGTAAGTATTGTATATACTTAAATCGCAACTCAATGTTCTTATATTTTGTATATTCAAATAGATGTTTAACTAGATGATTATTTTAGAAACACCCTCGATAGGGCTAACCTCTGGTGTCTCCCCTTCTTTCAAATTATTTACTTTTTTGTGATCTGATTGAATAAAGTATTGTTATTATTATTATTATTATTATTTATTGTTTCTTCTAGTCGATTTCGAGTATCATGATCAGTTTCAGCTGTATTTTACATAGTCATATTTAGCTTATTTACCATGCTTTGAGGTTTTACAGGCTTCATTTAATTTCGCCTTTTATTTTTTTTTGTCACGCAAACACCTTGCGGGCTTTTTTGCTCCTGAGGCGCTCCTCATAAACCTATGGGGCTTGAACCTTCGAACTCACGCGTGGCATTCTAGTGCTCTAACTAAGTGCGGTTTTTTCTTTTTTTTTTTCTATACTTCCAAATAAATGAGAGGCAAAACTAAATTTTCTGTAACCAAGGAAAAAGAATCTCTGCGTTCAGGGACTGACTCATGATTGTTTGTCTAACTAACGACGAGAAGGATTAGTTATCAGATAAAATAGTTCCATAAAGTCATTTTCCTCCTTTAAATGATCACTTTCAAAGTTTTCTGTACGTCGAGAAAGCAAAAGCAGCCTTTTCTCCACTTTTAGCATTCGTTCCTCAGTACACTGGATAATAGTTTCAGAATTCAAACAGAAAGGCTCTGCATCAGAAAGACACATGTTGGAGAATGTCGTCTCATCACAAAACAACTTAAACTCAGTCCGATTACTTCCCTTATCGAAAATGTCCGTTAAACGCTCCTCGATAAAACGTGCCATTTCAAGCTCTTTTGCGCATTCTTCTGCGTTTGTTTTAGCATCACCGTATGATTCGTTGAGTACAGAAACAAGCATATTCATGAGAAACACAGTTGTGGATATACAAAACAAAAATGCAAACGTCGGACCAATAAAGGGTTTGTCGCTTCGAAGAGCTTGCATTGGGACTGCTTTTCCCAACACAAATTCGAATTGTGACATAACTGCGTTGAGGTAACTAGAATACTCTAATACTACACAACCGAAAAACTGCATACCTGTGACGACAAATGCATAAAACACGATCAGAAAGAAGAACACGTACGATAGTTGATAGCCTATAGATTGCCGAAAAGATGAAAACAAGTATATTACGTGTGGATTAAAACGAATTAAATTTAGGAGCTTGATCGTCACCATAAAAACAGCAACGGCAATAGATGCATTTTCTAAGTTAAGCCAATCCAAGGCTGTGTGAAAATGTGCGATTTCATAAGGATTGGCTTGAATAGCCTTGATAGTGTTTAAAACACTTTTAGCTCTGATCATGTAGAATGCTACAGAAGCTACAGAGAAAGTTATCATGAAGAAATCGACCATGTTCCAAACAGACTTAAAGAATCCTAGGCGTTGTTGATATAGGTGAACTAACATAACTATGAAGTAAAAGAACACCATTGCCATGAACAGAAACTGGCAAATTAGGAAAAACACCAGAGCTCCCGACTCAGTGCTGTACAACTCGAGTGTCTCAATTCTTCTTGAAGTATAGGCTGCACCAGTAGCTATGGCCTCGTAAAAATATGTGGCAATACTGATCAAGTTTGTATTGACATTGAAAACAGCAAACTCTAGAATTACAGCTCGAGTTTGGCGATCGAACCATCCCTGGCCAATAGTTTCGTCGAGGACACCTTTTGCGGTGCTTTCGTCATAGCCCATGACTGCCGCATAACCACCTCCTTCATATGAATTGTACGTAGCCTGGATGGGATTAATACGAAGTTCTGCTGCTGATTGGTATCGCCAAGGATTAGGGCAACTTTGGAGAGCATTTGGCCACGATGCGTTGAGTGGGAGAGGTATCCATCCTGGAAGGCTTAGTAAAGTCGTGTCCTCGTTGTCTGAAGAATAGTGGTAATAGCAGTTGGAAATGATTTTAGAGAGCGATCTGCAGGAGCCTTCATTGAAAATGTAGAGGAAAAAGAGGAAAAACAGTTTGTGACTTTTAGTTGCATAACTGATAACAAGGAGGAACTAAGAAGTTACTACCTAGAACAACACGTCTATAAGATTCCTCATTGTATCGGTTTGAAGATTGTGGTTCCTAAATTACTATCGAAGCTTAATTAAATTCACTGTTTTAGCCAGAAGACCTCAATTTCTGTTTTTCCTTCTTTAGAGATGTAAATAACTGGTCGTTTTCATTGGAGTTATTGGTGTGATAGGCTGCCAACCATCATGATTTCGATGGAAGGGAAAATGTTTCATGGGTACGCGTAATTACGGCTATTCAAACTATTTAAGGTCCATTAAGTAGCCTCAATTAGAAATATGAAAGAAAAGGAGCGCTGGTCAATAAAATATTAATGATATTTTTCTCTTATGAAAGCTTCTTGGAGTATAAGACCACTGATTTATAAGTTTCACTTTTTTATCCAGTTTCAAGCAAAGCCTCCTGCAAAAAGATGTATCCCTATAAAATGATCGATGTAAATTGTAGTTTACTTTTTTTGATTCTGAGCTGTCGCAACCAAGGCATCCCCACCAAGATCGACATCTTGTTCTCGATGAACACGTTGTTTTTCTCTTCGTCTCCATTGTACCAGGCCTGGTTATAAATGTTTAATATGAATTCATTCTTTAACCACGCCTCTAATCGATGTGCATCGTTTACCGAGAGGGAAAAAGAAGAACTGAGAGAGAGCGTATGCATTAAGTTCGTTGCACCATTCATAAACAAGTTCGGCGATGAACATGGTTATAAAAAAAAAACAAGTAAATAAAAAGTAATGAAATGACTGACCACTGCAACAAAGTGCAAGGAAAACATAAACCAGTAGGCCATCTTAAATCCAAAACTCGTGATAACATCGGAAAAATTTGAGCAGTTAAAAGTTCAGTGCAATCGAGAGCAAAGGCTGATTTAAAATCTCTAGTTCTACCAGCTATTTTTCTTTGAGAGGTCATTTTTAAACTATATCAAAAAAACTGTTCAAGTGTAGGTTTTAAAATAGCTCGAATGTATTACTTTGTCTGGTGCTGGGATGTGATTGACGTTGGTTACCAAAAAACTTTGTGTTAAGCATCCCGAGTCTGTAATTTTGCAATTATGGTGTTATGCATATGCCTAGCAAATCCTTTAAACATAAACAAGTCTAACTACTAAGAAGGAGTCTTTTAGCAGACAGGATAATCTTACCAGGTTAAACTTAGTAAATCGATTTCCTATCTCTGCTGTCATCAGAAAACGATTTCCATTATTGTTTCCATAGGATACGATAGCCAGAAGAAACATGAATATTAAATGAAGAATGATGTCTCTTGTCATGCGTGTTAAAGCAGCCTCCCTTTGGGATCTCTCCCTCATCTTTTCCCGCTGATATCGCTTAAAGTACTGTTTGGGATCATCACTCAAAATATCTATCTCGATTGCAGATGAATCGATTCCAATTTCTTTCTCTTTTTCTTCTCCTTTTTCACATTTTCCTTTATTCTTTTTCGTTAGCAGAAAGGAAACAACGATGACTGCTATCATAACCTTGGTCGGCTGTACAACGAAAATGTCTTGTCCGCTGGAAATTAAAGTAGAAGCAAGCCACTGCTCAGAGGTTTCCTTGCCCCACATTAGACTGTAAAACAGTGTAAAGGTTGCTGCTAACATAGTCGTACAAAAGCAGAAAAACCAGCCGATATAAACAAAAAAATGAGGAAGCATACAACCGGCGTCTGTTATTTCATCCAAAAGTCGTTGGGCCTCGTCTGTCGCTTTGCAGCTTTCTCTCCTTTCTTCTTTTGGTCTACTAGACTTAAAGAGGAAGGCAATTATTATGTTTATAGGTGCAATAATTATGCTGCTTTGTACACCGATGACTATCTGTCTCCAAGAAAACTTAAATGGTCCGACCTGTATAGCACCGTCAGATTCACTATCAATGTTATAGAACATGGCATTTGCTATCATTGCACTAAACAGAAATGAAAGGCAACATGAAGCTCTTTGCACACGTGTGAAGGTACTGCTACATGCTTTTCCAAGCACTGACATCCACAGGTGACTGTCGGCAATTTGCCTAGCAAAGCGCGAACGAACATGAGCAGAAAAGGCAGCATGCGTTCTGCTGTCCACAGTAACCTCTATTTGTCCGTCGTCTTTCTCTAAGGCAAGCCATCTATTTAAGGGGAACACCCACATTTCTTCAGTCTGTCGGTCCTTAATCGTTACTGTCTCTACGAACCAAGACGGATTTTCTCCCGAGTTATCGTGCTCCAAAGTAATTTCTTTTAATGTACCAAAGGATTTTGCCATCACGAGTACAAAGACATTAATACTCCCACGCCCAAATAATTCACTCGTTTCCCCTTTCTCTCGTAATACAATTTGACTATGTTCGTAAATTTCGCTCTTGATACTAATGCTTATTTTAGCTTTTGTTGCTGACTGTTTCCAAATACCGGTGCTTACAACCATATCGTAGCAATAGGCTCCTTCATCAACAAGTGGTATCACTTTGGGAGGGCAAATCTGAAAAGAAGAATACATACTGAGTTAAAAATGCTCATCTGAATGTCAAAATACGATACTTAGAATCTTTCAATTTTCAGTTGCAAAAGAAACCTTAAAATGAAAAAATGGCAATTATGAAAGTTGTCTTGGCGGGAGGTCGAGAGTTCAATACCGGCCGGACCAACACTCAGGGTCTTAAAATTAACTGAGAAGAATATGCTTCCTTTCTTTAACATCAAGAAATGGTTAGATATTCTAGTCTTCTCGGATAGGGACGAATAAATGGAGGTCCCGTCTCCTGCAGGGTTGGGGTAGGAGACGTTAATTTCCCACGCACGAGATTACTGTGTGATGGATGTCCTCCCTGGGGTGGGTTGGGTGGGTAGTTACAGGGCCGTTCTGAAAACCACTTCTGTGAGAACGCACCCTGTCTAAAGATTATTATCTATCTATCTATCTATCTATCTATCGTTTGGGCAGCAGAACTGTTTGATTGGATGCATTTAACGAGATGAACACACCTTGTCTTCATCTCCCTTGTCGGCTCTCCTTGCAAAGACCAAGACAACGAAGTACGAAAGGAAACAACAAGAAATTGTTACAAGTACTGAGATATTGCCACTCTCAGCAAGATTTAAAAACTCGTTAAAGACTTTGTCGAAGTCAATTGGATTTGGTGCCTGAATGAAGCTTCCACCAAACGATGTCAAATGATTGCAGAGGCATACAAGATGCGTGGTGTTTGAATCTGGGCTTACCTTTCAAAACATGAATAGATAAATAGATCAATAACAAATGTCAATTTTAGCCATAAAAACAATAGATAATATAGAAATCGAGAAATGCGATATTTTAAGAAGAATAGCCGATTGGTGGTTTTAGCATTATATCCGCCGCTTTATCACTAAATCTGTACTTTCGAAATCAGTATTTTTCGCATATAATTTTTAGGATGAATAAGTCATTGCTTTCCTTAACCTAAGAAACAGCTTGTAATGGTAAATTTTTACCTTGCAACCTTCCGTAGTCCACTCTTCTGTTTCCTCTGACCAATGCAAACAACTTGACTGGGTGATAGTTAAAGTGTAGTTAATGTCTGTGTTTGGGTCATACTTTGGAACTGCAACTTTGAGAACTCCTTTGGGCGGAGGATCCTTGACCCCAACACAGGACCGTCTTTCGCGACGCTGACCGAAACACGATCGTCGTTGCCTAGAATGTTGACTTTCACTCTCAGAGGGTTTAAACAATAAACCTACGTAGAGGGAGGCTGGCTTAGATGGCATCACTGTAACTGATCCACCTCTGATAAAGCAAGTTGAATTGACATCTGTTTGGTTGTCACATGTAAAGTTAGACACTAATGTAACGTTGTGGTCAAAGTCTTCCACAGTTGGCCTTCCTCCAAACTTTATAAAGAGTTTGATTTGAATTCCTGCTTTAGCCACCTCCATATTAAGAGATACAGGAACATTAGCGAGTTCTGCGTAATAACTACGGACTGACATACGGTTAGGCTTAAGGAAATAATGTTCTGTCCCGTTTCTGGAGTTCTGAGGTGGATTGGAAATCGGAATGACGATCTCGATGTCATTATCGAGATTTGAGATATTAATTTTTTCCTCGCTGTTACCTTTAAGCTCGAGACTAATGACTTTTGATTTGATTTTCTTGCTGCTATTGCTCCAGGTAAAAGGATTAAAATCAATAGCCTGCATCTGAAAGAAAACGAACTATATGTGTTTCTTGATACTGAGGTAAGTGAAATTACAGGAGTTTTTCTTCACTTCTTCTGTCAATCAAACCTATAAATCTATTCAGCTTGACAGAGAAATTATGAATTTTCCATGCCATTTGTTAATATGAGCTAAAATAAAATATTATATGAACAAGCGGGTTACCCCACCTAGGCAAGATACCTCACTCATCTGGGGTCCCCCACCTCCATGTAGACAGGCCCTAAATGAATACACCCTTTTTTCTGGATTCTGTATTATAGGCATGCAATACTCAGTAGTTAGTCAAGTGAAAAGCAAGCAAAATGCCAGAAAAATTAAAGCAAGGATTTCTTTATAACATCCTTCCCCATCATTAGATTGGACAGAATCTGAAAGCTGGATTGAGAATAGCAATCTTACTTTTGCATTTATGTCTACACTGCCGAAATTTCCAAGATTGCTTGGGAGCTTGAATTTGCTTGGTCCATCTCCCATGCTGAGTCCCTTTGCATCGTTAGCTGTGACCTTTTTCACAAATATTACCAACTTTGGAGTTTGAAGGACCAGATCTTCTGATGGAACTAAGCGGCCAAAAAGTGCATCGCACATATTGCTCAGTTTTTCGAAGGCCTCTTTAACTATCTAAAAAGAGGATCAAATAATGTCAGTTGTTGAGAAAATAACGTAGTTATTCTTATAAATTAAGATATTTTTTGGTCTCAATTTATTTTGGTAACTACCGTAACATAGAATGCGGTTAAATGTTAGCAGCTTGTTAGAAATTTAATCCAGAAGGGGAATATACGCAGGAAGGTTCATATTTCTGGTAACTGTGCGTGTGATTTTTACCTCTGGAGATCGCGGAGATGCTATGGAGTCTGTGTCGCCTTGACTCGAGCCTACACCAGACTTCAGAACATTCGTAAGACAGCCTGTAACACTCGTCGCTGTTTGTTCCAACACTGGTGTGAAAGGCTCCTCTGGATCGTTTAGGGTAGAGATCATGATATTTGCCGTATTATCGATCAATTGCATTGTTAATTCCTTGGAAAAAATAGTACTGGCACATCATTTATCAGAATCATTAGAATGCGAAGATTTGGCAGATCAAATACTCTTGAAAATCCGAAATTTACCATTGTCGTAGCCTTCTTTTTAGGTACAAGTAAAATGTTTTAATCGTTTCCGGTCAGATACCTTCGCGAGGAACAGGGAGCCCAGCAATATTTACATCACTTGCAAGACGAGTCCAGATGAGTACTGAGCTGGCACGGACTCCAACCGTATTGGAACCGAACCATTTCAGGTTTATTTTCCTCCTTTATTTTTAATCTTATTTTGTTGAAGAGGAATTGTTTGACTGTTATTGTTATTAAGTAAAAAACCGATTTGACATTTATATATGCGATCCAAACAGAATAGAAGAGCAAAAGAAAAAATAAAATCAATACGGCGTACCGCGCTGTCAGTGTTGCTGTCACTGTCACCGTCACTACAGCTGTCGCATTTTAGTTCAGCCTTCGTCCCCATGGCCAAGCTTACCACTGACATCACCAAGCGAGACATTTCAAGATTATCTGGTGTTATAGCTGTAAATTTGTTAATCAATGTGTCGATAATCTAATAACAAAGAGAAATGACATGCTTCGAATGAACGATCGCACAGATTCTGTGCACGCCTTATCACTTTCTATAAAAAAAATATGGCTACAATTACCTGTAGCTAAAATTAAACTGTTATTTCCGATTGCATTTGAGCATTCGTTTTTAGCATACCAACGCTTTGTCCTTGGGTTCCAGTGCTTTTCCACATTCAGTTCTTTCATTAGCAGACTTCAAGACAGATATACCAAGTTGAACAGCTTGGCTGAGTTCACCTCTGTCGAGAAATTCACTAAGCTTGCTACCCTCCCCGACTACAAAACTTTTTAATTTGATTGTAACTTCTTCTGGTGATGAAAGACATGGATCAAGGCTAGACGATGGTCTTACCTGCAGAAAGAAAAGGAAGAAAGATCAAAACATTTTACTTATTGATAAGAGTCTTTTGACCTTTTCACTAAAGTTACGAGTTATCACGGGATCCTAGCCAAGCTGAGATAGAAATCGAGAACAATGGAAGGCTGGAAGGCACATAGAGTGAATTATATAGTTTTGAAACAGTTTGAACACAGCGTTAGTGACTAAAATTGGACAGTGCCTAAGTCATGAGTAGAGTAACAATTGTTTCGTCAAAAAGGTATCGCGTATATCATTTATCTCAGTACCTTGATAAGTAATTTCTGTACAACAGATACTCCAACAGCGTTCCTAATCACGATAGTGATTCTTAATTGAAAATTTTCGTCCGGAAATCCTGCAGGTAATACTGTCGATACAGATGTGGGTGATATGCCGTAAGATATTGGATTCTCTCCGAGTGACAACTCATAATTTAGTGGTAAGCTCGTATCCCGCCAGTCGAAGCACTTAAAAACAAACTCAGTCTCTAATGAAACGCCTTCAGAGGTTGAAGACGTGCAGTAACCACTATGCGGCTCCCCAGCGGTTTCAAAGATGATGGAAGAAAAACCGTATGCCCCTTCTGAAGATGTTACAAATAATGTTAGATTATATTTGCAATTTGATTGCAATGAGTTCTTTTTGATGATCACATTAGTTGCATGTGCAGCAGTTGATGTCATATTGGGTAAAATGGGTACATTCACCCAATTTCCTGATTCACTGAATTTGGACAAGTGCCATTCATAGGTGGATCCGTTGCAACGAGCATTAGAGCATGCGGATGTCACCCGGAGCTTGTTCGAAGCAGACACTCTTTCGCCGCAATCTATAAGGCATCTAGACAAAATAAAAATTACGTGAACTGTTAAAATGGGATTTCAGTGAGAGTGGGCTTGCCCACATTGATCGTTCATAATTAAAAAATGAGTTACCTGAGGGCCACTTGAGGTACCTCTTTTGCAGCTATCAAAAAGGACGTTTCAGTAAAGGAACTTCTCACATCCTTGGAAACAGTCAGTTGTAGGAAGTAGGTCTTTTCGACTTCCAGTTTACTAGGGTCCACTCTAATGACTGTGGAGCTAAAGTTTGGCATGCCAAGAAAAGAACCAAAGCAAGTGTTGTTTACAGAGCTGTCCTTCCGGCAGGACCATGTAAAATTGAGTCCAGTGTGCATCCCAGGGCCAATATCAACATCATAACTCAAGGAACCATCCACAGTCACAATGGTTTTAGATCCCCATCGTACACTGCTTCCTCCATCGATGATAGCTCGCACTGGAGCTGCAATAACCTCAATGAAGCCATAATCAAAGGCATTGAGTGTCCTTGGGGACTCTGGATACTCAACAGTAATTGTTGCTTTGAATATTACTTGGTAAATTCCAGCTGATAGGGATCGTCTTTTTATCGTCCATTCCGTTGTTCCTTGACTGACAATAGTTCCTGATGCTGACTCTGAGGCATCCAGCTCCTTTTCACTAATTAAACTCCATTCGAAGGTGCTCTGAAGTACGGTTAAATCTTTATTTAGACCCTGTATCACAGCTTGTTGGACGCTTTGGACTGAACGCTGAATAGGCGTAGCGTGATACTTGTTCTTTGAAATATTTCTGATGGTCACAGAGAAATCTCCTAATAATTAGAGTGGAAAAACGTTTTTCAGTCATTTTCAACCTTTAAGATATAACTTTTCCCCTACATGTTTTCTATAATCATGTATTCTATGGCTTGGCTTACTTAAGTATCAAAATGTCCCATTTTACTCAGACCAACTTGTTTAGCTACAAAATGGGAAAAACAAAAAAACCAAACTAAATGAAGCTAGCGATAGCTTTTTAGCTGTCTTGTTTCACCTAAATCTAAACGGAATCTTACCGTCGGGCTCACATGATATCCCATCTCCAATGTAGCTTTTCCGGCACTCACAGCTAAAGGATCCAGGATTGTTAAAGCAGTGAGCGACTCCGTGGCAGTTATGAGCGGAGGTTGCACATTCATCAATCTCTGTAGAATTACAAAGATGCGGATTACGTTTTTAACAGGGGTCAGTGCCCCATGAAAAACACACACACAAAAAAGGAATGGATAATGAACATACAACTATTTCCCACCTACACAACTTGCGCCATTGCCCTCATATCCTTTGACGCATGTAAAGTTAAAGGATAAAGGCTGATAGTTTCTAAAGAAACTGTTTGGGGCTGCGTCGGTGGGGGTAACAAAATAATTTTGATATATCAACAAAGTTGAAATGGTAAATTGGCCACCGTAACGATTACAAAAGCTGACGTTTCGAGCGTTAGCCCTTCGTCGGAGCGAAGGGCTCCGACGAAGGGCTAACGCTCGAAACGTCAGCTTTTGTAATCGTTACGGTGGCCAATTTACCACTTCAACTTTGTTGATATATCCAAATTATTGCAGTTAAAGGATCCGATCGCGTTGGTACAAGCCACCCGTGGGTCGCAGTTGCGCACAGTTGTAGTGCATTCATCAATATCTATACGTAATAATATACATGAAAAAATTGTGCGCGTCTGATTGGTTAAAAACGAGTGCATTTTTAATGAAACAGGAGTGCAAGGTTGTAACACGAGTGCAAAGTTGTAACACGAGTGCAAATTACAAATAACGTACGCGCGCTGTCAAAATGTTTCCTGTCTTGACTTTCTTTCATGCTTCTCTTCATCATATTATCAGTAAGTAACAACATGATGCCTTGTGCAGTTTCAATGACTACAAATTGCAATTATTTTGTCTCTAAAAAATTTACTCGTGTTTATCAACACCAATTTGACACGAGAAATCATCGTATCCTCCGATACGAAAAATGAAATGCACGATTGAGACTGACGACCAGAGATCATTGTGAAATCCTTTTTTAAAAATTTGAACAACAGAGGTCGTAACGCTGGGGCTTAGATTGGAACGTGTTAGACCTACCAACGCAAAATCGCCCATCCCAAGAGTAACCAGGTGAGCATTGACATGTGAAAGATCCATCGGAGCACATTGCTTTAGGAGCGCAGTCATCCAGGCCGTCCTTACACTCGTTTATATCTATTATTTATAGAAAGGAATGTAAATAAGATTAAAGTTGTAATGATGGTTAAAGCTATCACTACCTGCCTCGACCTTTTTTTCTGTAATATTTACCCGTAGAGAGCTAAAGTAAGTAAAAGGTAATGAAAACGTTCCTCTACTTAATCTTCTAATGCAGCTGACAACATCATCCTTAACAAATGTATCTTTGAGGACATTTTTGTCGATTTGGGAGCCACAAAGCGCTAAGATACTTATGTACAAACAATATCTGTTCTGAGAAGAAAACAAGTGTTCGAGCGGGACTCGAAGAAAAATAAGGGCTCTGGGAAACAAATAAAGTCCAAGTAAAGATCAACGAGTTTGCAAACTACTTAAATGGTATTAAGTCGACTATCTTTCAGAAACAAATCTTTTTTTCAGCGAAGAAGTATCATCCCATCTTGACCTGGGCTTCACTTATACATCGTACACAAATTGTGGGTAAAATCGACCGTTATAGGCGGATAGCCAAGTCAAGTCAGTCATATATCATACCAGAGCAATGAACGCCATCTCCTGAGAATCCCTGAAGACAAGTACAATTGAATGAACCCATAGTGTTGTTGCATTGTGCCATTTCGTGACAATTATGTGTCCGCTTTTGACATTCGTCTACATCTGTGGAAATCGTATAAATTCATATTAGTTCCTGTGTGTGTCTGACTACATAGCGTATTTAACTCTCTGTCTGTCTGTCTGTCTGACTGACTATCTGTTGCAGCTGGTCAACGTGCGACCGTCGATTGGGTTCCCATACGGGGCATCTAAGTTTTCGTGCATGCACAGTGGCGGCATCTTCGAATGGTGCCACGAGCCCGCCAAGTTAAAACCTCTCAGTCTATCTCGTTCAGTTTTTCTCGAATTTTGGTCCTAATTTTGCGTTAAACACTGTAAAATAAAGTGAGAGTTTTTTCGAAGCCTTTGTGAAGGATTATGAATTAAAGGTTTTGATTTGAAATAGTTAGTCACCGTTTGCGGCAACACTTTCCATGGATCTTTTCGTCTTTTCATGAACGTTTTACGGAGTTTAGAGACTGCACTTCTTTATCTCTTTCTATCGGCCCATTGCTTATGAGAATAAGGAACTGTTCGTAACTGTCTGGCATTTGTTGCACCATTTATGTTTTCCTGAGTAACCGTGGCAATGACAGCCCATGAATCTATGTCTTCAACCTGTTATCGTGCTTCAGCAGTTTAATGCTTCATTTAAGGTTACCTGAACAACCGAACAGCTCCACCCTCATTGCAATTCCCTCGTGCCAGTTCACTGGACGAAATCGGATGTAACGTCCTACGATAAAGGGGCTCAGGTCATGATAAACGATCGTCTTCTGGTCATAATTTCCAGCAAAGGCCTTGATAAGTGAAAAAACAAAACAAAACAAAACAAACAGAAAATAAAAAAAATCTTCACTTTCTTTCCGTGATAAATTTGTGATAATTAGATTGATGGATGAATCGAATGCAACATTTCCTCATCCAATGGACAGCACAACTCTGATATGTCTGCCTCATATAAACAGTTTTTTTTTGTATGTTTTCTAGAGATTTTCCATGGCATTAAATGACTTAAAACAATAGAAAAAATATGAGTAAAGGTCTTCCTAGCGCAATCTAAAGGTATTTTTTAATGCTAGTTTCCTTTACGGAAAGGCAGCCTCGTTAATATTCTTATGGACCTTTTTTATTGTCTTCCCTTGATCCATGTAATATTGCAAAGTAGTTTCTTCATCGCCATGCTGTAAATTGTAGCTGGTAACCCACTTGGACGAAGCACTCATTCCTTGTGTTGCAATTCGTTTCACGATGGTATCGTTATTTCGCAAATCAATCTGAAGCCACTGGTCGACATTGTCTTCGAGAGGCAACCAAGCTCCCTCGCTTAATATCAGTCTGCCCCTAGTTGACGCATAATCTGCACTCAATTGTGAAGAGGCACTAATTTGTCCGTCAGAAATAGCACCGTTTTCCATACCAAGGGCGTCTTGACATTCTTTGCATTTCAAGAAGATAAACAGAAAGTTGAAATCTAAATCATTCCCGTACCTATCCTCCCGACTATAACACAGTTTTGACCGGAAACGAAAAAGAAAGACACAGATTTCTAGGGCGTGGCATCAATTTCGGCTGGGGCTATTAGATCAGGGAAGAAGGTAAGATTATTCCACCAAGAATCTGAACATCTTGTAGGAGTAAGGGAGGCTAGTGGTATGCCAAATGTAGATTTCTTAGCTAAAGGCTCATTAATTGAAGGAGAGCTTACCGCTTTACGATAACAAGACCATGAGCGTAAAATTGAAACTGCCAGAGACTACTTGTTAGGCTTGCATGTTCAATATAAGACATGAAAGAATGAAAAAATCATACATGACATTTTTCACATGAAGGACACATGATAAGGGACTTGGAAGTCGCTTGTCGAACAACCCAAGAGTTCTTATCAGCAAGTTAAAATTTGATTTTACCTAGACAGCCGTACAACTCCACCCGCATTGTTATCCATCTATACCAGCCTGTAGGTCGGAAACGGATGAATCTCGCCCTGATTGGTGGGAAAAGGTCATGGTACACAATGGTGTCTCTGTCTGTATTTCCAACAAAATTCTAGAACGAGAAGTCAAAATAAAGTTTTAAGAAACGAGAAGTTACTGCCACACGCGTTTTGTTTAATATCCGCCTTTATCAGAATATTTACGCAATTTTTTTCGATAAGTTTTCATACAGTTTTCCTACATACAGTTTGTCGTTGCTTGATCAGCTTTTCCACCATCCCCTTGTAATGATAACCAACCTAAACCTAATAGTGGATCAGTTTGCATTTCCATGTTAAAATGATTAAGGACAACTTTTGCTAGACAAAAATACGCCCCTAACCATATCTCTCAAGTTGGAGTACCCCAATTGGCTCATGACACCAAATTGGACTTTAATTAATCATGGGGGTCCCAGCCAGCTCACTCCTCTCCTCTGTCTAAAGATAGGAATTTTCTCAAATCATGTGTTAAATCATCCACTGTGATTTATATCATACCCACTTAAACTTTTTACCTCACCAACAACAGGCTTTGGGCTATATATGAATAAAAAAAGTTTTGAGGGCTTATTCCTCCACGAATTGCAGCGTTTTTGCCTAATGTTGGTTGAATTTAGTATCCTAAAAATTGGTCGCTTCACGAACTGGTTTGCCTCCCACAAGAAATTTTTCAACAATATCCCCAGTTTATACGAATGAAAACTTAAAATGAAAGTTTCTTTGGACATTTTTCAAACCTTGGGCTCCTTTTGTCCACGCTCCTTATAAAATTGGAACTTTATTCCGTCGTTGCTGTAAGTCAGGTTGTAGTGGGTTACGTATTGCACATGATAATTGTTTCGTCCTTGTGTTGCAATCCTTGTTGTTTTAATGTATCGATTAATTAGATCTATCTGGAGCCACTGGTTCTCATCGTTTGTGCGGGCTACCCAACCCCCTGCGTAGTTCTGTGTTCCTTTAAGGTGAAGTCTACCATAATGAGCAGCTTCTTTGTTATTCCATTGAGAAGAGGCGCTCATTTGATTGTCGGAGATATCACCGCTTTCTATTCCTTGAGCCTCCGCACACTCTAAGTGGTATAAATGCTTTGCATCAAAGAGAACTTGCATTGTTGCTTTTCAATAGCCAATCCACATCAAACAAGCACATGCAGTAATACGGGTTTGGGTTGTCAAGTATACATACCGTCCACGGGTTTTTTTTTCAATTTTTTTTCCTTAGTATACATAAACTGCGATGTTTTACTAGGATTTTCGTACCAGAGAAAGTTGTAACTACACATGTATAGAATTACGATATTTTTTTGCGTGTGTTTGATGTCGCCAATCAGCTGCTGACAAGTTATTTGCCTTTCGCACCTCTCTGTCAGGTTAATGAAAGAATGGCAAAGCTTTCCTCATCAGAAAGGTCGAATTTTTCTATCAGTAAAGGCTTATGGTGTTAATATAATAAGAACAAAAAAATGTTACACGACTGCTCGTAAATATGGAGTTTTCCTCTTCGAAAATTTGAAGAGAAATTCCATACGTGCGCTCACTTACATGAATTCTTTATTCTCTATACGTATAAAGTTCTGAATGCTGCAAACTATTTGATGTAGAATGATGATACAATCAGTTCATGAGAGGCAGAAGAGCCACAAGATCGAGGAATGAAACAGTTATGAAAAACAGAGATCTCAGGAGAGTTTTGAAATTATTTTACGAGGAAATGTATTTGATAACTTTGGTTTACTCCAAGAACAACTCCTCCTGAAAAATGTAGCATTCTCCAACAAGGCTACCATTTATTTCTTTTGGCAGATTTTGACATGGAAACATGGTCGTAATCTGCTGATAATCTAGGGAGAGAGAGGGGTCGAAATCCCTATTCAATAGAAGCAAACTCACCAGTGGTTCCGTAAACCTCAACTCTAAGGCAAATATTTCGTTTCCAAGTAACTGGTAGAAAACGAATGTATCTTGCATAGACGGGAACTTCTAGTGGATGTTGGCAAATTGTGTGGGATCCACCTTCCCTGTGAAATGTCTATAATACTATGAAAAAATATAACGAAGTCACAAGTTTTTGAAAATAAAATTTACTTAAAAGGAGGATTCAATAACGATGAAAAAGGAACAATTACGGAGTTGGTTATTCCCAAGTTGTCGCATAAACTGAGATGGAGAATATTGACGAACGCACCCTTTCGACCTGCTGACAAACAATAGCGTTTAATTATGTTACATTGGCGATATAGCTACTGGAAATGGTGTCAACAATTGCAAATCTTAACATCATCAACTTGGGAATCACACTATCTAATGTGACTCTGTGCGATGGATAGCTGGCTCCTACTGTAACTAAGAACAGAAATGTCGGTAAGTACTACCTTCAACGATTCTAGTCAGGACTTCTCTCACCCAGACGATCAAACTGTACAATCAAATCTCGTTCCTGAGCTCAAACCGTTTACTAACAGAACATCATTAAATAATATATGTTCCGGGTTTAAAACTACATTTTGGCCCAAATCTTACCACTTCCGAGCCGTTAGCATCCCTATAAGTTGGCCACCCGTCCTCATAGGATTTAGAGTGCGCTAGTTTAAAGTCTATCACCCACTCGTTGCCATTGACGTCTCCCTGGGTTGCAACAGCGCACACTTCAATAACTTTCCCCAGATCGACTTGAAGCCACTGATCTTTCTCATCTTTTCCAGCGCACCATCCAGTACCTCTAGTATCATTCAGACGTCCATAAGCTGGTCTGTAACTGGAGCTGTTGTAATGACTTTTTGCCGTCATGAAGCTGTCAAGAATGATATTTGGATCGGAAACTCTAACAACATTACTGTAGCAGTTATCAAGGGTTTCTGCGTTCAAAAAATTGGAGTATTCAGTTAATCACAATATTCACTTACCTTATCGCTGTTTATTGTTCACTTATAATCTAAGATTGACAGGGTCATTCCTTTTCACGTGATATGCCAAGGGAAAGAATCCACCAGCAAATGAAAATAAGGCTACAAAATCAAAAATGTAATCTTTTTCCGCACTGATGTTTCCTTCGATTTCCTTAAACCTGTTAGAAAAAGGTTTTCACAACGGAAAAAAAAGTTGCTTTCAACAAAGGTTTTGAAGTCATCTGCACACTAAATGAGTTTTACTACTTTTTCTATGTCTAGTATTCCATCTATTAAATTATTTGTCCTTTTACTTCTTACAATACGACGATAGTTGTGATGCTTACGTAGATGCAAAGCAATATTACTTTGCCTCATTTTCAGCTCGCAATTCCATGCTAAATAACTCGCTCCAATCAGAATGTGAGTTTTATTCAATGATGCCATTCTACCGTGTATAAGGGCTTTATCCACGCCTAAGTGGCAAACAATTGAAGGTGGGATAGTCTTCTAAACACGGTTTGCATTTTTCCGCACTCTTTCCAGTTACGAACATTGATATGGCTCTGACTAAAATAAAGCACTATAAATAAGAGCAATAATACAGGTGAGGCAAATAAGTCTGACATAATTACTTTCAATATGTGACTGGAGTTCTGTCCTTCCAATTGAGTCCCAAGTTTCATCAGTAGTTTTTCTTAGGAATGGCGCTATATCTTGAATAACCAAGAGGTTTTTTCCCTTTCTGACATTTTTGTTCTATTATTATATTGATCTCACACAAAGAATCACAATACTTTGATTGGTTTCTATGTTAGACATAAAATGCCCCTTAAAAAAGCACAATCTGATTGGTGTCTTTTCCTTTTTCACAATTATCTCCCATGTAGGCACCTTGACACTCACAGATATAACTATTATCACGCTTTTCCACATTGTGCTGCTCGGCGAAATTTTCATCAGACTGATGCTTTCTGAGTGTGTAGTATACAAAACCTAGAGTATCACTTTATTCGAAGTATGAAACGAAAGAATTCTCTACCCTGGATCGCACGAAGACTGCAGCTATAAAAGGCATGCTAGTATGACAGTTTGTTATTTGCTTCGATGAAATGTACAATGTTCTCCAACAGAACTGTTTTGTATTGTTTTGTTATGTTTTGTTTTTATGATTTGTATGTTGTACTAGTAAGCACCACCTTTCGCCCCTCCCCCTTAAGTCGCCACAATTAACACTGCTTTTCTAAGGTCTTTTTCTGTTTTTCTTTTCTTCAGCTGAGGTGACCAAGGTCTTATCTTATCAGTGCCGCAGCGCACTGACAAAACGAGCAGCATGTGGGATACGTGCAAAGTTAGCATTGGAAAACGCTGGCAGCATTTTCGAAAAAATGAAAAACAGAAGTGCCAAAATGAAACTAATCTTGATTTACCAATTTTACCATAAGAAGTGGTGAACAGTACTTTAATAAAATCATTTGTTTTAAAAAATAACGTCGCCTGCCTCCTTTCATAATGCTGCGACGAACTTCAAATAAAGCACGTATTGGACTGGTGCATTTAGCATAATTGCGTGTATCTTATGACTACGCTGTCATCGAATGTTAGTCTTGCTGACACACTAAATTTAACAACTTACATATACCACAAAATTGTGGGAGAAGGAATCTGAATAATGTATAATTATTTCGCTTGAACAAGATATAGTAGACGAACATTTCTCGCCGTAAGAAAACTCGCCAAGGCAATACATCGCTGGAACGATATATCACAATGGGTCATTCCTGATTCAGCGATAAATCGCTGGAGCGATATTTCACTGAAGCAATATATCGTGATAATGTCCCCCACACACTACGAATATCTTTGTGGCGACTTGTCGTCGAATCGAGATATCGCAGGAAAGCTCCGATATCTCGTCCATTTGTCGTTCTAAGTTGTCACAAAATGAACGATATATCTCTGGTATAACGCAAGAAGAAAGCGCGCCATCGTTTGCATTACTTTTGCACAGTACTGCTGTATTACATACAAAAACAGTGGATAGGGTCGAAGGCAGGCTCTGAATGCTATTCAGAATGAAAATATTATTCTCACTGCAGGTCTAAATGAATTATGATCACCATTTTGTGCAGTATTACAGCTGTATCTCACTGTTTGGTGTGTACTAAAACAAGGATTCACTTCAGTATCGCTGGCTAGTGGTGGACAGTTTGAATTGCGAGTAAATATCCATTACCAGCCACCTCCATTTCGGTATATAACTATTAAATATTACTTGGATCCGTTCCCTGAAATCTGTGCCAAAGTTCAACGACTCCATATTCCTCAACAGAAAAGCTCATAAACTGTCAAAGGCGTTTTCAAAATCGAGAATAGCGGTTATATCCTCGATAATCTGTTTAGCAGTAAAGCTTGTGTATCCATCATTTTACTAACATTTTCTGCGATAAATCCACCTTCAATGTAACCAGCTTGTGCGTCGCTAATAGAATGGGGGATCACCTTCATTCTCGAAACTAGCGCTCGTGTTGTTATCTTGTAGTTTACACTAGGTAAAGATAAAGGACTTTAATTTTCAAGTGAGGCAGATCTTTGTCTTTCTTATGACTCATTAGAACGATACGTTGCCTTTGTGAGTTTTGAAAGATTGCCTTTTATGAACTTGTAACTGAAAGTTTCTTCCTTTGCCTTATTAAAATCTTCCTAGAGGCACTAAGGACCTCAGGACCTAAGGACTTGTTTTTTAAAACAATTTTCAGGCCACTGGACATTAAATTATCTTTAATATTCCTACACACTTTGTTTAAATTTTTCTTCGATGTTTAATTTCACGATACATCGCTGAAGAAAAAGTAGTTGAATTCTTAGAAGATTCACCAAAAAGTTTTGTGAGCCAAACAGAGTTTGTTTCCGTTGTATCTTTAATGGGCTTCTATTGTACTACCGTCGTTTATTTCGAGTTTCTCAGTTTTTAACTAATTCTGATAATTGTTTCTTCTAAGTTTAGAAAATACTTAGGAATTCAATCACCTCGTCCAAACCACTCTGTTTTAGACCTTAGCATGCAGTTCGCCTACGCTGGATGAGATGCTTTTTATTTCTCCCGGCCAAGTAAGAATTTTTCATGTTCCTCGAGGATGTCTATGGATTTTTCAGTTCTCTGAAAAGTTAAGTGTTAAGTTCTTTTCTTCACTGATTGCTAAGCGGCATCTTTTTCAGCAACGTCTTGGTATTGCTTTATAAAGCCTGAAAACCTTGCAAACATTTGTTGGACCATTGTTCCGTTAAAACACAATATTAAACGGAAAATGCTCGCGATATAAGTTTGTAATACCATAAAACTTCCCTTGGAAAAAGGCGATAGACAACAAACAAAATAAATGCATTTACATGGGCTTTACCAACGTGAGTTACCCAAATTATGCCGCGTTTATATATTTCAAATTTCTTAATCTCGATAAAACCCTGTGAATTGACTTCTCCATTTTAATATTAAAATGTCCTTTAGTACAAAATTATGCGAGAAAAACATACCTCCACTCGCCAAGCCTTTGCTAGTTAGCACTATTAAGATTTGAACCTATAAAAGGAGGAGTTCTTTATATTGAAAGTGAATAAAAACGTTTATCACTTCAGTGTACCAGTCTAAAAAGAAGACTTATTCAAGGGTCAGCCAGCTCACCTTTAGTAAAATTAAGGGCCTTTGAACATTCATCTTGTCACTTCGTCAACCCAAACCGAGCCGAAGCATTTTTGTTACTTGGGCATTGTTTACCTAATCCCACCGTGGTTAGATTTCATTGAAGGAAAACCAACATTAATTTTTTATCAGTTTCGCATTGGCCATGAAACCGCACATTCTAGAAGTACTAAGCAATCGACGAAGGGAAATGAAGCAAGTTTCCTATCAACTGCAGCGATGCTTTTTGCACATGGATATTTCAGTCTTCGTTCAAAGGATGTGTTGTTACGTACAAAGGAATGAAAAAGTATAATGTATTTGGTTGGAATATGGGCGATTGGAAAATACAAAGTATTTAGATTGAAGGTAGCAGGAAATTTAATTGTTTTCTTTTGACTTAATTGGTGTTATCAAACAAATCACCTCCTTAAATCGTCTCTTTCTTTACCTCTTCATGGAGTTTTGATTTTTGTATTCATTAAAATAGCCTGTTTCAGGCCATTGGTCATGGAAAACAAGTGAAATAGCAGGCGAGCGACTCTTAGCGACTTCCCTAAAAAACACACTTTCGTACATTCACTTTTTGATTGTCTCTATTGACAGGATGTTAATGAATATGATCGCACATATCAGAGTACTTAAGTATCCTTAGGCTTTCCATCGGTTCCACAAGCTTTTCCATATTTATCTCTGAGTTTCGACGGATTTTTTCTTGGAACCGTAAAATTAAGTATTAAAATAGTCCACAGCTGGCATACATATTGTATTGTGTTAGTGTACGAGTTTGTAAATGTGAACGATAACCTACAATTGTGATGTTATTGTGCTAAAAAACCAAGGCTAAAAACGTGATCTCTACAATGGTTATTAAATTATTAATAACAAGGCACGGTCAGTTTGGATATTCTGACAAAAATGAAAGCAGGGGTTCATTAAGACAGTTTTCAATCGACACAGTTTCCCACAAACAATTTATTCGTTATGACTAAAACGACCTCATGTATCAAAACAGGACTTCCTTAGAAAAAGAATATTTAATTTTGATCCAAAATCTGACTTTGTGTATCCATGAATCTAAATTCCCGCAAAGCTTGATTGAGTCTTTAACAAATTGACATGTTGGTGGTTATTGAAATGGACTGGATGAGAAGATGCAAATAACCCAATACACACTTTTTTGTACCCTATCCTTCGATACCGCTCAATATCGCTAAAAAAATCGTTCCAACGTTGGTTTCTAAATCTTCCCAAGGGTATCAATGGACGAATCTTCTTTTAAGCGCTCGATGAAGGAGAGCGCTTACTAAGTGTGTCATTTACGAGGCCCTTCTTAAAGTTTCTCTGAGCTTATTAACTCCTAGTACATTCGATTACACGCCAGTGTCACAATATCTTTGACACGCGCGTTGATCGATTTCACGGATTGTCCCCATCTCTTGTTATGTTTAGTTGCCCTGCTGGCTCCTCGTTTGAAGTTTTGGACTTTTAAAGTGCCGTGTTTTCAAAATGAAAGAAAAAAAATAGAAAAAAGTAGATTATGTAAGAAGAAATCACAGGGTGAAATACTTTTTGTAAATGAATGGCCACACCAGACAATTAGAATTGCCGAAAATTACTTGGTTACAACAGATGTGAAAACACCAAAAGCTTTGTAAGGATAGTTAATTAAGAAAGAGGAAAGCCAAAGATGCGTTGCTATTCAAAGCTATACCATAACTTGCAAGTCGTAAGTGGACCAAGGAGTGATTCAAACGGCGGCGGGTAAATGTGAAAAAATCCGTGCAAATCCCAGCTTGGGAGTTGCAATAATCGTATGCTATTTTTTAACCAAGGACAGGCTGGTGAAGCCTATCAGAGGTCCTATAAGATGGCATCGGAGTAAATCGATTCTAGAAGACCTTCATCTCGAATATGCAATTGTGAGGATTTTAAAGAAGGCAAATGAAACTGCTGACGACAGGCACTGGAAAAAAAAAGTCGAGAAAATACGAAAATACCGACTGCGTTTGAACGATGTCTTAAGAAATCTGAACTTGTAGCCAGACTGCTAAACGGAAGTGGGACGGAAGGCTACTGCCGAACAAATTTTATCTTTATCCATACAATGCCGATGAAGCGTAAACTAGTTATATTTTAATTATTTAAGGAGATACACTTAAACAATATCGTCAAAGGAAAATATGAATAAGTTACGTATATCATGGAGTTGATTTGGGTTAGGTACTCACAAACCTTGCACTAGAGGTATCTTTATTTCTCTTCTTACAAAACAGCACAAGCGAAACTAAACCATTATCAGTACCTTACGAGAAAAACTCTCCATTCAGGGATCACCTCAGGATAGTCTATATGAGTATCAGCTAGAGGGATTTGCCATTGAATAAAGTATTTCCATAAAGTCATTTTCCTCCTTAAAATGATCAGCTTCTATGTTTTCTGCTCGTCGATAAAGAACAAGTAGTTTCTTCTCCACTTTTTGCATTCGTTCCTCTGTACACTGTATTATACTTTTAGAATTCAAACAGAAAGGCTCTGCTTCAGAAAGACACATGTTGGCGAACGTTGCCTCATCGCAAAACAACTTTAACTCAGTCCGATTACTTCCATCATGGAACATTTCCTTCATTCGCTCTTCAATGAAATGTGCCATTTCAAGCTCTTGTGTATTTTCCTCGGGGTTCATTTCGGCGTCAGCGTATGACTCATATAGTACAGAAACAAACATATTCATCAGAAATACTGTCGTAGATAGACAAAACAAAAATGCAAACGAGGGACCAATAAAGGGTTTGTCGCTTCGAAGAGCTTGTTGTAATGTGACCGCTTTTCCTAACAAGAATACGAATTGTGACATGACAGCCCTGAGCTAACTAGAATACTCAAGGACTATACCACCAAATAACTGCATGCCTGTAACGATAAATGCATTAAACACGATCAGAAAGAACACGTACGAGAGTTGATAACCTATAGATTGCCGAAAATATGAAAACAAGTATAGTACGTTTGGATTAAAACGAATTAAATTTAGACGCTTGACTGTCACCATAAAAACAGCTACAGCAATAGACGCATTTTCTACATTGAGCCAATCCAAGGCTTTGTGAAAATGCACTATTTCGTAAGGATTGGCTTTAATGTCTTTGCTGGTGTTTAAAACGCTATTAGCTCTAATCATGTAAAATGCTACAGAGGCTACAGAGAAAATGATCATGAAGAATTCAACCACGTTCCAAACAGACTTAAAAAACCCTAAGCGTTGTCGATAAAGGTGAACTAACATGACTATGAAGTAAAAGAGAACCATTTCCATGAACAGAAACTGGCCGACGAGGAAAAACACCAGAGCTCCCGACTCAGTGCTGTACAACTCGAGTGTCTCGATTCTTCTTGATGTGTACGCTGCACCAGTAGCTATGGCCTCGTAAAGGTACAGAATAATTTGGATATATCTACGAAGTTGAAATGGTAAATTGGCCACCGTAACGATTACAAAAGCTGACGTTTCGAGCGTTAGCCCTTCGTCGGAGCGAATAGAGGAGTTGTGGTTGTGTGCTTTTAAAGGCAGAAAATGGAGCTACGTTATTGGTGGGAACATGGCAACGAGAAAAACACGAATAAATTAGTGGAATGAAAAGCGTTCGTTGATCCCTGTGGGATTTAGACTGCCGGTCTGAAAGATGAGCTTTTGTTCAAGAGCTTTACGGCTTTCCGTGCTACCTAAGTGCGAGGAAAGACCGCAGATTACCATATGTTGCTTAGAATGATTAGGTAATTATAAATTAAAATGTCTAGGGACAAGCCAGTCGTTTCCATGCCATCGTGAACAAAGACTGAACTTAAAACTTTACTGAGTTGCGCCAACTCTTACATGTTGTTTTCTTTCATAGGTCACTTGTTAATTTTTCCAACATGCGTTTTCAAATAGTACGAATGCTTGAGTTTCATAATGTTAATGTAATGCAAAGGACTTTGACCAATGTAGTTCGCTGTTAAACGTCAACGAGTTTAAAATTTTGCAATTTTAGCAGTTTTGTAAAAGGGTTGCCTTGAAAAAAAGGCTTTTGGACAGGAAAAAATTAATTACAATCACCAATAAAAAGGCATGGTTTCGGAAAAAGAGAGATCTTAGCAGATTAAATTTGTTAAATGGATTTATTATCTCAGTTGTCATCAGAAAACGATCTCCATTCTTGTTTCCATACGATGAGATGGCCAGAAGAAAAACGAATATTAAATGAAGAATAATGCCTCTCGTCATGTTTGTTAAGTGAGCTTCATTTTTCGATCTCTCCCTCATCTTCTCTTGCTGATATCGCTTATGGCGCTGTTTGAGATCCTCATCCAAAAAATCTATTTCAACTGCAAATGGATTGATGTCAATCATTTTATTTTATTCAAATTTGCTTTTGCTCCCTTTGGTCAAGAGGAAAGACATAATGATTACTAGCATCATAACCTTCATAGGTTGTACAACGAAAATATCTTGTGTAATGGAAATTAAAATAGAAGCAAGCCACTGCTCAGAGGTTTCCTTTCCCCACATTAAACTGTAAAACAGCGTAAAAGTTGCCGCTGTCATGGTCGCACTGACGCAAAGAAACCAGCCTATATATACAAAGAAATGAGGAAGCACAGCCGGTATTTGTTATCTCATCCAAAAGCCTTTGGGCCTCGTCTGTTACTTGGCATTTTTCGCTCCCTTTCTTTCTTGGTCTGCTAGACTTAAACAAGAAGACAATAATGATGTTTATAGGTGCCGCTTTGTACTCCGATGAATATCTGTCTCCAAGAGAACTTAAATGGCCCGACCTGTATAGCACCGTTGGATTCACCACCAATGTTATAGAACATGGCATTAGCTATTATTGCACTAAAGAGAACTAAAAGGCATCATGAGGCTCTTTGCACACGTGTGAAGGTACTACTACACTCTTTTCCAAACACTGACATCCACAAGTGACTGTCGACAGTTTTTCGCGCAAAGCGTGAACGAATCTGATCAGAGAAGGCTGTAGGTATTTTGCTGTCCACAGTAACCTTTATCTGTCCGTCATCTT